TTTATAATATTTCGGTGTGGATTTATTCATTAATATGACCTGCAAGATGTTTAGTAGTTTGAGGAAATACCATGTAATGATTTATATTTGAGGCCAAAAATAATTGAGTGCCGAAGTATTTACAAGTTTGTATGTGAGCAGTCCTAGTACCATACAAATAGAAATTAAGAGTAATCATAATAGACTTATTATTGTGTAGTTAATGTATATTAAGACTATAATGAAGAGATGTTCAAGTTGTATGGAATTTTGTCTCTATCATGTCCCCTCAAGATAATGTTCCATCGGTGACTCCTATATTGGATCGTGATAACTAAAAGTGAGATTTAGACAAAGGGTTGGTGACGGGGATGCCGACTTCGGTGGTGCTGGTAGGGGCAAGAATATTAATTTGGTCGGCCCTGATTGCTAACATGGTGGGATCAATATTTTTTTCTCGATTGAGTCGTGATTCTGATTCCATATTAAAACTTGAGGTTCTACCTTACAAGATTAATACTTTTAAGAACTGTAGATCAAGACCTTATATGTTGATTGCTTATTTTGTAATCTTTTAATGTGAAATTTATTCTTTATCGAATCCTACTGATGGATATCAACTTTTTGGAAAGGGGTTACAAAATTTCTCAAAATTGTATTGGAGGCACGTTTGTACAAAAATCATTTAAACACTCTCCACCAAAACACACAAAAAAAAAATGAAAAAAAAATGTTGTCGAGTTTCGCAAACACATTAAAATGTAAATAGTTACAAACTACATTTTGAGAAATTATTAGAATCAGTTTTGACAAATTTATAAATAGAAATAACAAGAAAATATTAGTGATTCTCACTAAATGTATGAATAATATTACTTGTGAATGTTTATTTAAAATTAATGTTTTACTCTTGACTGAATTTATATAGATCATTTATAAATTTGTATCCAAACGGGTGTTTAGTATTTTCTGACTTGGGTCCTAAAACGCCATTGTTGGTCTTGTGGTGCATTTGGTGTCTTTTGGCAAGTCTATTAATGTCTAGTCATTGTTTGATCTGAATTATTTCTAAAATACATTTTTCTTTCTATTTTTTTCAATCATATATTTTTCAATAAAATAATATTACATATAAATCCAAATATTTTCCTTATTTTCTAACTACACATTTTTCATCAATTTATTATTCTAAAATACATTTTTAAAGAAAAGCATCAATATAGCCCATTAATATGCTAATTATGATTGAATTTATAGTCAAAATGAAAAGGACTCAGAAGCCATAATAAGCCACTTGATATGTTGTACCAACCAAAGTCGGCACTGCATTTAATTTGATTCAATTTCAGTCTTCTCCCCAAGTAAATGTTGGATCATGTCCTTTTCAATTCTGATTTGACTAATTTATTTGCCATAGCATGTTGCAACTGAACATGTACTATGATAAGTAATCTAACACGATTTAACATCGATCTAGATAGTAATATATATGAATTAAATGATTGATTGAGTCATGCAATTATAAAAGTCCTATTTAATTTTACTTATCATGTATCACTTAAACTGATATTTAACACTATTAAGATTGAATTATGCAATGATATACGTCCTATTTAATTGTATTTATGATGGATCACTGATATTTAACACTAAAGATGTTAAATAACATTACTCAACTTTATATTATACCTTGAATAAACAAGATTAAGTATCACAATTAATCGTGTAAATCCTATTCCGTATAATGTGTCTACCATTTTCCATTTTTTATTTTATTTTTGTTAATACAAGCATGAAATATCATTATTAATGGTATATATGAACGAATTCGGTTTCTAGTTCCCCATAGATAATACTTGCGAAGTAGATTAATTTTTCACTCTAAATACTATTTATTTTATGCAAAAACAAAATCTCATGTAATTGAGTTCCGTTCTTTCGATTTTTATTTTTAAAATATATATATATATATATCGAAGAACTCGATCTAGTACAATACAAAATAACTTAACTCGTCTCAAGATGGGGAGAACAATGTAAGAGTTAGAGAAATATGCTTCATGCAATGTAGTAATGCTTGTCGTGTAATGTCTCATCTATTATGTCACTTTTAGACTCATTACTTGAAGAGACAGAGTAAATTTATTTTGGTACTTAAAGTTCGTAAGTTCATAGCTTCCTCACAGTGAAAATGGTCTTTCGGTTTAAATTGTGAATTAAATGTAAAACAAAACGCAATAAATCTTTGCAAACTGTTACCCATATTATCCTAGACAGAAATGAATGCATAGTCTGCTTCAAGAGAGGATTCCAAAATTTAATTTCTTCCATGGAAAAAAGAATTAATAATATCTAGAACAGCAGCCCTTGCATTAATCCAATGTCCACTATGTATTTAATTTCAATTTTTGTAAGTAATTATTTGGGCGTCCGCTCTGGTAAGTCATAACTTGCATGCATGTTAAGCTTGTAATCTTATATTTTTGCCATTTTCTTGTCTGTTTGTTACATATGGGATAACATTATTTGGTCAGCTTCGACAACAATTATTACTATATAACATTATGCATCGAGTTTATTCACTTATAAAGAGATTTTTTTTTTTTTTTTTTTTTGGTCCTTTGGAATATCGGATCAGAGTTGACGACAATGTCGAATCAGGCCGCCCCATTTTGTGATTCGTTGGCTATAAAATATGAAATCTAGAATGTCACACTGTGTGTAGGAATAATGAGAAATATGCACTTCAATGTTAAAATCCAAGCCATGTTAGCTATGTTTTCAGAATTCTAATATGATATTGATAAAAATTGTCTTCTGTTTATCGAATAAAGGACATTGGATTTAAAAGGGTGTTTGATTTTAGCAAACGCGGTTTAATAATTAGGGTCTATGTAATAAAGTTCTAATAAAAGTGGATGAAATTAATGTGTAATTAAAAAATCGAAAAAATTGTGATTATATAAAATGTGTGGTTAAAATTGATGTTTCATCGGTTAATAAAATTTTAGCAAAGTTTTAGAAACAAATACTAGTATAACATCACTTATTCATAATATTATGAAACGATTAGTACCACCCGGGGCTTAGATATCTTAGAACATTTATTTGTGTACTTTAAAATAAATTTTCTTCACTTGTGAAATAATAATTTTTAGGTTTCTCAGATAAATTGAGCTCTGTTTTTTATTTCATCCCACAAAATCACCAAGATACTATATATATATATATAGGGTTTTCAAAAAATCCAGTTATGTAGTATGTTCAACTAATTTATATACTGTTTTAGCTCCATTTTTTGGTGTAAAATGTATTTTGGAATAGTAGATTGGTGGAGAATTTGTGGTTAAAAAATAAGAAAAAATTTTGAATTTGCGTGCAATATTATTTTATTGAAAAATGTGTAGTTAAAAAGAATAGAGAAAAAATATATTTTGGAAAAAATGTGGATCAAACAAATATAGAACAATGTGCATGTTCAAATATTAATTAATCCTTCTTCGATTTAAATCGTCACATAGGACCTTCCACCAAATACAAACATGTTTCCAAAAATTACTAATAGAGATGGACGTCTATCATCGTTGATCTACCAACGGATTAACAACTTAGCAACAACTTATTATTTTTGATTAAGATATATTGTCTTTACATAGTTTTATTATTGATCAACTAAGATGTACTGTCTTGTTGAAATTATGTGTTAACGAATACGTAGTATTAGAAAATCTTTAATTAGGTTCATGGAATGGAAATAATTATCTGCTTTCAACCCTGGTAGGGAGTTTTTTATGGTGTTGTTATTACTGTCTCATCCATTTCTTTAAATGTGTAAATCAATTGTGTTTTAATCCAAACACATCAATAAATAAATGATAAAAGCTATTGTTGTTGATTACGAATTATTTCAACCAGAAAAAGTTATACTCCATATATGCATCTGGTATGCATGATCTTATCTTCAATCTTCTATATATGCAATGAAGCGTATCGCGATAAATCAAAATCGCAAAGGCACGCCATTTATTCAAACTTCTTATTAGCTTATTATTAGACAACTCAATAATGACACAGTTTTAGTTTCTAAAAGTGTAAATTGCTCGATTTTGAACAAGAAGGAAATGCGAAGTTGAGAAAAATATTATCAGATAATGCTCCTAAAAAACCCTAATTTCCCTCCTCCCTAAACATAGATGAGAAAAGAACACACACAAATTAATAATGCTAGAACTTCAAAATATATCCAAGATATTTTTGGTTAACAAAGAAGTTATTTTTTAGCAAATAAACAATAGTACGAGATTGATAATCATTGCTGTTTGATCTCCCTTATTAGACAGAAAGCAGAATTAAAATTCTCAAATTTCACATCTCCAAGGCGCTTATTGCTGAAATAGAAAATCTGAGGTAACGTAAGAGGGGTTACCTGAAAATGATACCATGTTTTCCATTTCAGAGTTATTGGAATTGAACATGTCCTTGTTCATTTCACAATCTCCCAGAAAACCCATGAAATTGTTGTTGGAATCTATGCAACCTGATACGGCTGCATCATAACTCTGATAATCAGAAATAGGGCAAGATTTTAAGCTTGTTGTACCACCTAGGAATTTCTCAATTGTGTCCTCATCGGCTAATTGATTCCCAAATAAGTACCAATCAACATCATATGGAGAGTCCCTTTTCCGATCACCGGAGCTTGATTCTTCAGCATTTTCAAAAGGGACGGTAGAAAACCCTAATTCTTGAAATTCATTAGGGATTGATTTTTGCCACTGGCTCAAATTCTCAAGGCGTTTGATCATCGTTTTCTCTCTTGCCCTTGCTCTAGCCTTGTCCCGGGACTCCCTCGTGTTAGGTTTAGATTTACGTACTACTTTTTGAATATAGTTTCTGTCATCTTTCTCATGTGAATTGCCTGGACTTACACTTTTTGTTGAAGCTCCTTTGAATTCATTGTTTGAATTCTCCACTATTCCTGATGCTACTTCACATTCAGAGACAAAAGACTCACTCTTTACATTATCAATGCTGGAACTGATCTTTGCTTGATCAGGATGGTTTTTGCTCAGCTCCTTGATTGCCTTCTTCGATTTAGCGAATAGCCAATCAATGGTGTTGCTTGCTTTATCAAAGCCTAACATGTCTTGCAGATCAAAAAATTTTCTTGCAACCTGGACTGAAAGTCTCATTCTTCTGTCTCTTATTCCTTGTGCCGTGCAAATCTTGCTGTGCCTATCCTTCTTCCCAGTTCTCTTTCGAGCCGTTGGACCAGGATTTCTCTTCCTCATCGGTGTAATAGCCTCACGATGAACTTGATCAGCAGAATTTTCATTGAACTTGCAAGGCTCACTATTCCCTTCCTTGTAATTTGTAGAATTAGTCCCTCCCATGGGCTGATTTTGAGAAAATATTTGATTCAAAGGCAATTCATGGTTGTCTAAAAATGGTGAAGGGAAGTTTATGAAACATTGAGTGTCATCTTGTCTGAAGGTAGGGTTTTGATCATACGTAAACGACC